CCGCTTCGATTTTCCGCTTGTGTTTTTCCTTAAAGATTTTTGTTTTTTTCCTGCCTATGCAATTTGTTTGAATTATTTCTCTCATGCAATTTTTTTTAATGGAATTTGTTTGTTCAGATTTTGTGCGATTCTTTCTTTATCTTAAATATGTAAATAAATCATTTAGATACTATTATATATTCTATAATCATAAGCTCAAGCCTCGAGACCAAAGGAAGAAGTTGCACTTAAACCCAAGTTTGGAAACCGAGGCAGGAGAGAAGCTCGACAAGGAGTTTGACCATTCCTCGATTCCACGAGTACTCAATCCGTTGTTTGTTCAGTCAAAGGAAAGGTACGTATTATTTCACGTAAGAGTACACATAGAATACCAAAGGGAGTTATTCATGTTCAATCAAGTTTCAATAATACCATTGTCACGGTTACAGATCTACGAGGTCGGGTGCTTTCCTAGTTTATTTACTCGCTTCGGGCTAGGGGGGACAGACTCATGGATATTTCTCAATAGTAAGAATTGAAAGAACGCTGGAATGAGGGTAGGGCGACTCAAAGTAGCCTTTCACTACCTACGCAATAACCGATCCTCAGACCTAATTGATTTAATAATATATTCTTATACTATTATTTGCATGTGTTTTGTATATGACCATCCATGTTGCTACATTTTATATTCTTATATACGTAATTTAATTATATATAATTAAAAAAATTAATATTATATTTGTAAACATAAAATAAACTTATACTCTTTTAGCATAAGATATTTAAGCATATATAAATATTTGTATATTATACACACATCATTAAAATAAAATTTATTATTATATGTATTTTTCATATCTATTACTATATAATAGGAATAAGAAAAAACCTAAAAAAAACATTAAGAGCATGCTTGGATACAAAATTATCTCAAAAAAATCCAAATATTTTTAACTCAACCACTTTTTTAACTCATCTTTAACTCAACCCCACTATCATCAATATTATCAATATAATTAAATAATATCAAATCAATTATTCTTACACACCACGTCACCTTAATTCACTATTCATCTACTCACATAATTTTAACTAACTATCACTTCAAATCTCATCTCTCTTACTTTACATCAAATCAACCTTAATCATTTAATTTTAAATATTATTTTAATATAACCACTAACAAATAATCATACCAACTTTTTTCAAAACTAATCAAACCAAACAAAAAAATTCAAACAAAACCAAAATTTTTCATATCCAATCATCCTCTAAGATTTTTGCTCATAGTTTCGATTTTTACTACTAACGGAATTGTTTTTTGAATTTTTTATGTTTCTCCCGTCCATAATTTTTTTGAATTATTTAGAGTTTTTTAAACGAATATCAATCATTTTTCTAATAGATATACATTCCATCTTATATTGATGTCCATATTTATCTCAATTCTATCCCTTTTTTTTTTAAAAAAAAAAAAAAATTCTTTTTTTTATGGGTATTGTTTTGATTTGATTTTAATATCCTTCATTGGATATTTAGAATTATAAACAATGAAAAAGGTAAAATAAAATGTCTGAGTTTTATGTTATAAAATCTTCCTATGAAGCATGATAATTTTTTTCTTTCCTATATTCTTTTTTCTTTTCTAATATTACGTCTTTTTCTTTTTGTTTTTTTTTTTTTTTTTTTTTTACTTTTAAATTTCATTTTCTTAAGATGTTGGAAAATTTTTTACTATTTCCATTTTAACATTTATTATATACAAAATAAAATATTCATCAATCTTTCCAAAAATTCGGAATCATTTTAATGAATAAAAAAGAAAGAATTTGAAGTTATAGTATAATTATAAACCATAAACATAGCAAATAAATTATATGATTATATTCAGTATTCTAAATATTGTACCGGTCATTATATCGGTTCGACCAGTTTTACTGTCTATTTTACTGTTATTAATAAATATTAAATTAATTTGTTAATATAATATAAATAATGTACAAAATTAACTTTAATTAATATTAAAATTAATTAACATCTAATAACAATGTAAACATATTAAAATAAAGTGTAAAACTTTCAATTTAAATAAAATAATAAATGAAAATATATTAAAAATATTTTTTTAAAAAAAATTTGGCATAAATCGGTATTTTGGCCGATAAAACTGGTAATTTTTCGGTATGAAACCGGTATAAATTGATATTTTGGTAAAAATGGTATTTAGAGTGTAATCGTACCGGTCGGACCACTGGTATCCGGTATTACCGGTAATACCGGCCGGAACGTTACTGTATTTAAAACATTGATTATAATATTTATATTATTTTGAAATCAAATATTTTGTCAGTTAATTAAGTTTTCAAACATTCCTAAAAAAATTTTAATCTATGTATAAGTAACTATAATAAAATAATATGTCAATCCTTCACATTTTTATTTTGTGCACAATAGATTTAACAATAAAATATATACTTTTTATTTAAAATTTTTATGATTACTATCATGCTTACAAAAATATATCTATAGATAAGTTAATAATAATAACCAAATATATATTATTATAATACAACAAATTTTAAAAATGAATAGAATGCATATATGTACACAATATTTATTTTGAATTTATTTAAATATTTTTAAATTATTTACATAACTAAATAATATTAATGTATATTAAGTATTTATCATTATATATATATATATAGAGAGAGAGAGTTAAACTTTTATAAATGTTATAAATAATAAATAATAATAATGACTTTATACAACAATAAATTTTCTTAAAAAATAATAGTGAAGTTTTATAATGAACAAAAACAAGTAAAAATATTATTTTGTCTATATCAAAAAATAAATATAGATGTTAAAATAGTATTTATTAATATAAACTGTTATCAAGCTAACATATTCTTAAAATAAAGTTTTAAAAGATATTTTAAGAAACAAGCTCGTCGTGCATCGCACGGGATACACACTAGTTATATTATGCTTTTGATAATCTGTTTCGGAATATTTGGGGATTTGGGTGTTCCCTAAGAGGAATGGCTCAATAAGTATACACATATTATATGTGTGTGTATTAAATTAAAATAAATTAAATTAATAATTGGGTGTGCATTCTCAAGTACTGCTAACCACCAAATAAAATAACAAAATATTCATACTAAAAATAATCATCCTTCCCTATATATTTTGATACGAATCAATTATAAAAGAAAACTTTTTTGGCTTCTGGTAAACAATATCTATAAATATGTAGACTGTAGGTGAAATTTGCGGTTTTGTTATGAAGTCATCGGATTGCTCAGCTTATGGAGCAATCCATTGTTATTCGCAAATGATTTTGACACGTGTCGTGAAATAAATACACATTGGACATGTGTCAGTACATAAAATTATGAATGACTCCATAAGGGAGCATCCGATGGCTCCATAGAATTACTGGTGAAATTTGATGGTAAAATTGTCTATGTAATTTGTGTTTTAAATATCAATAAATTATTTTAAAAAAATTATACTCAAATCTCAATATAATTAAGCTTCACAACTTTTTTAGCCATTTAATTAAATCATTTTAATTCACATTCAAAAATATCTATCAAAGTCCATTTTTAAATAATTTTAATTCACATAAAAAATATATATATCAAAGTCCATAGATTATACCTGTGGTGAATGTCCAACACGTGAAATTCTATCTTCTAATTTTTCTCTTTTTTGTTTTTTATATATTTTTTTGGTTCTCCACTCATCCTTTTCTTCACCTTTTTCTTACTTTTGAATATTAAATACTCATTTTAATACTCTAATTGTTCAATCAAAAGTCCAAAGATAATTAATTGATAAGAAAAGGGAAAATCAATGGCAACCTTGAACCTTCTTCTATCATTTTACTTTGACTTTTTGTGCTTGAAATTTTGCACCACTTAGGGTGATTGTTTACAAAATAATTTACTCGTTTTTATTTTAACTCAAAATCTAACTCAATTTTAACTCAATCTCACTATCTTTAATATTATTCATATAATTAAATAATACAAACCAATCATTCTTACACATTACATCAACTTCAATTCACTATTCATCCACTCACATGATTTTAACTACCTATCATTTCAGTCATTTTCAATTATTTATCTTTTACTTTACATCAAATCAATTTTAATTATTTTAATACATTCTTAAAATTTCACTACAACTAACCATACCACATTTTTCAAAATTATTATAGTTAACCAAAATAACTCAATTTGAACAAATTATTTCATAAACAATCAAACCCTTAAATTTGTTGTAAAAAAAAAA